AGGAACCATTCACTTATTTGAGTAGAATGGCAAAAGGGAAGTGCTTAGTCCATCCTGGAAGAACCCCAAAGAAGCACCAGTCTTTCTCTCTGTTGTAGTGCCACTTTTGAGCCTTTTGAATGCCTGGGCTGAGAAATGGTGGCGACCAGAGCAGACCGCCCCCTGAGGTGGCATCGTTGATTTCCCCTCTTCATGGAATGACCCCTGACTTCTCCATGGACTACACCAAAAGTCATAACTTTGGCCTCGAACCTTCCCTCAATTTACACACAAATCTTGAGATCATTTCTTATGTTAAGACAAGATTTAAAAAAGGAGGAGCTAAGCTGGTGGTGGAAGATCATAACTGTTATTTTTCAATTGAATGATGTGTCTCAAACATTTGGTGGAAGCTTAGCAGATCAAGCCCGCATGAAGCCTGCCTTGTGTAGCTGCTGTTTTCTCTTTGATGGTGCAAAATGTGTAGGAGTGTAAAACAACAATAATAATTACATAATCAAAGCAAGTGTATCCCTACTTGTGGGTTTATTTATCTTAATTTCTCAAAGGGTGTAGCAGAGATATCTGGCCTTCAAAGACAACAAAGATGCTCAGTCTATCCACTCCTGTGAAAGTCCTCTAATCCTTTTTCAAATGTTAGAGGGAAAGTGGGTGACTGCATTCTCTGTTAGTGACTTTCTGGGTTTTTCCCCAAAGCTCCTGGAATTCTGCCACATATAGCCTGTTGTGTTGGGCTAGTGCCCTGGTGAGACCTCTTAGGATATATTGTTAGGGATACCCATTATGTGGTACTAGAAAATTCTGGAACATTATTTTCTAAAACAAAACATTAGAAGCTAGACAGTGGAGCAAAAGGATGACTACCTGAGGAAGAAGACAATTGGCTCCTTGTGAGGAACTATAGGTGAGACATTCTTGTATGGGAGTGGATTAATGGTGCAGGTTGAATGGAGTTGAATGGAGTGGGGGGAAAAGACTAGAGAGAGGTTGGAATTCATGGGAAAATAATACAGTGGGTCCTCCATATCCATGGAATCTGCATCTACAGGCTCATTTGTCAGTGACTTGTAAATATTCCTACCCCCTTGTTTTTGTTTCTCTTGTTTTTGTTTCTCTGTGTTTTCAAAGTATTTGCAAATTTTTATTATTTATGGATTAAATTAACATGCTCTCTCTAGTAATATCTAGGTTCTCCAGAGTAATTCTATGGTCAACTTCTGCCTGAAGGACCAAGAGATTCTTAGAGAGATGTTATGTCAGTTTAAAAAACGATCTTTTTTAGTCACAATTTTCCACTTTTGTGCAGATCCTGTGGTCCCAACCTCTGCAAAAGTGGAGAGCCTACTGTGATTTTGTTTATTCCTCTCTTGGAGTTATATCTTCAGTCAATCTTCTCTCAAAAGATAGAACCATCTGAAACTAGGTTTTAAGTCTCCTGCTTTATTCACTGAATTTTACAGAGACTTCAAACATTGCTGTGTCTCCCACTCCAACTTCTTCCATCTTTTTCCTTGCCCTCAAAAATGTGTTAAGGAGAAAAAGATGGAACAGGCGCACAGTGATTTCTAACTGCTGGTGTGAGGAGCTCTCCATCTGGAAATGCTCTTGACTGGGAAAAATTACACTGAGCAAAAGGGGAGGCCTCATGCCTTGTCTCTGGTTGTTTATCCTGGGATTTGCAGCCTTTCCCTGGAGGTCCTAATAAGGATGTTATGCTGTAGAGCCTAGACTATCAGACCTGTAAAGTACTGGTTAATTTTGATCAAATACAGTTCTGTGAGACCCTAATGAAATATAATGTGTAGTTCAGTTGAGCTAGAAAATTGATATAAGCTTCCTGATAGGACTGGTATTGTTAGGTGCAAATGGTAAATACACTGGGACTTTCCTCTGTGTAAGCATGGGTTTCACTTATTTGGTTTCATAATTATTGTTCATTTTAAGTTTGGACAGAATGAACAGAATTGTATGACCACTTTGCTTTTTAAAATAGAAAGAACACACACACATATATATCTAAAGGAATATTTAAATAATCATACACAGATACAAAATGAATTTTTAAGGGTTGTTTGGAATATTGATTTCACAAGTGGAGTCATTCTACAAACACTTCTTAGAATGTTGTGGAACACTGTAGTGATGAGACCCACACTTATTATTATTATTATTATTATTATTATTATTATTATTATTATTCTACTGTTCTCCAGGAACCCCCGGTGGCGCAGTGGGTTAAACCGCTGAGCTGCTGAGCTTGTTGACCGAAAGGTTGCAGGTTTGAATCTGGGAAGCGGTGTGAGCTTCTGTTGTCAGCCCCAGTTTCTGCCAACCTAGCAGTTCAAAAACATGCACATGTGAGTAGATCAATAGGTACCGCTCTGGTGCTCCATGCAGTCATGCTGGCCACATGACCTTGGAGGTGTCTATGGACAATGCTGCCTCTTTGGCTTAGAAACTGAGATTAGCACCAACCCCCAGAGTCGGACACGACTGGACTTAATGTCAGGGGAAAACCTTAACTTTTACTGTTCTCCAGAGTGGGATTCAAAGTGGCTTACAGCACAAATAGAAAGAGAGAAATTGAAACAGTAAGAAGTACAAAATATTAAAAAGCATCAAACAGTACATTTAATTAAATCATTATTTTTGAAACATTAAAATTTTAAACAATGAGAATACTTAAAATATGTAGTTTATATCAAAACATGCATATTAAAACTATGGAGTCAGCATGGTGAAGTGGTTTGAGCATTGGACCCTGGAGACCAGCATTTGAATTCCTGTTCAGCCATAAATTATCACTACTGGAAACAACTTGAAGGTACACAACAATATTAAAAAAAAGCACAATAATTTACAAATCACTCCATTCTGGGCAGTCAGGGCTGAAGGCCTGATTAAACAAGAAGGTTTTTGCTTGTCGCTGAAAATACTACAGAGAAGTGGCAAATTGAGACTCCCCCAGGAGCCTAGCAGTGGCCATTGGGAAGGCTTTTTCCCAAGCAGCTCAAAATTTGGGTTGTTTAAATCAGTTTGCAATGTCGAATTTGAAATATATGTTGAGAATTTTGAATCTGTATTTATGGTTCAGTGCCAAGTGTATGGAGATGATGGCTGGTATTTAAGAATTCAGTGCAAGGACAGGAAAAAGGTGTGGACATATGATGGTCAACAGAGTTTCATGATTGTATGGGGAAAACTGTAGGTATTGGTATACAGCTCTACTTTTTGAGTCTTGTGTCTTTTGCAGGTAGTAGGTTTCAAAGTAGATCTGAAATAAAATATTATTGTTTCTTCTTAAATTTCAAAAAGCTCTCCACATACATATTTAGAACTCCCCCCCCCCAAAAAAAAAAAACAACAACTTCTGCACATTAAAGGCAGCCTTCATTATCACTTTGCACCATTCTATCCACTGAAGGTTCTTCTTTTGCAGAATGGGCTGTAGTTCTGCTTTGACCCCGTTCTTTAAAAACAGTGGAGAGAGACTCTTTAGATTCTGGTTTTTGCATAGGCCCTATCTACACTGACTATTGGATGCAGCTTCAAACAAGTATTGAAGAAGGTGGTTTGACTGTGCAGATTATTACATATGAAATCCTGGAATCGGATGGGGATTACACAAACCACAGAGCACTGATGCACATTAAGGACATTCTTTCATGACCTTTTATGGGAATTTGTTGCTGGTCACCACAGTTTGAAGCTAGCTTTGAACTGCATCAATGCTTGATAATATGCTTGATAATATGAAATGCTTGATACACTTGATAATATGAAAACCTCAGATCCTGTCTGATCTTGAAAGCTAAGGAGAATGAGCCATTGTTAGTCAGGGAGCCTACCAGCAAAATACTATATTTCAGAGAAAGGAACTGGCAAAATCATTTCTGAGCCCCCAAGTTATGAACAAGATTGATTTTGTAGGTTTGTTCTTAACTTGAGAGCTTTGGATAGCATAGGGAAGGGTTAACATCCTGTGGTGCTTGTTTTGCTATCTGTGCCCCTGTTCAGAGGATTTAACTTCATTTTCTGTCCCTATGATAATTGGATTTTGAAAAAAAAATAGTTTATTATGGAAACAAGGATTAATGCCAAAGTTTCAGTGGAGATCCCCCCCCCCATGCTATCTCTTTCAGTAGTGAATTTCCCTGTTGAAGGGTAGATTTCTATCACTTTCTGTTGTGTCACCTCCATTCTTAACTAAGAGTACTGTGTAAATCAGATGTTTGTAACTCAGGGACTGCCTTTATTCCTTACCAAGAGAAACACTATGAAGTTCATGGAATCATCATTGGAAGGCAGGTGACCTGATGCATGCAGGCACAGGTTTGTGTACGCGCAAATTAATATTTGTGTGTGGTAGACCTAACCATGAAAATGGTTGGCATAGTTGTTATTGATTTAAATGTTGAACTCTATTTGGAACTAACTATTGGATTTAGTCTGATAGCTCTAGTAGTGGTATTGTGGGCCATAATCAGATAATATTATCCAAAAACAAATTGTCTTGTTTGGCACACCTATTTTCATCAACTAGCTAAATGTCAGATGGCGTGGAGCCCCTGGTGGCGCAGTGGGTTAAACCCCTGTGCTGGAAGGACTGAAGATCAACAGGTTGCAGGTTTGAATCTGGGGAGAGCACGGATGAGCTCCCACTATCAGCTCCAATACCTCATGGGGACATGAGAGAAGCCTCCCACAAGGATGATAAAACATCAAAATGTCCGGGCGTCGCCGGAGCAACGTCCTTACAGACAGCCAATTCTCTCACATAAGAAGCAACTTGCAGTTTCTCAAATCGCTCCTGACATGGCAAAAAAATAATAATAGTCAGATGGCATTGATACATTTATTTTGGTATAGAATATTCTGTGAATTCAGTACAGATGTGCTCTTTCAGATAGTTGTTCTTAAGTTGTTGCTTCAATAATTGAAATGCCTGACAGGTTTGTGCATCAAATATGAATTTGGTTTTCTGTTGTTTTTTTTTACAGTGACTTAGACAGAAATAACATTACGAGGATTACAAAAATGGACTTCACTGGGCTGAAGAACCTTCGTGTTCTGTGAGTATGAAAAAAGTTGTTATCTACAGTAATATCTTTGGGTTTTATATGCAGAAGTCACTGTAGCCAATAAGCTTCCTTTTGTCTGAAGTTGGAATTGCTTTTGCTTTATTTTGCAACAATACCATTCCAGATGTTCTTCACTACAACTTTCACAATTTCTGACAGTTGGCCATACAGTATAGAGCTGTACACCAAAACATATGGAGGTCTTCATGTTCAGAAAATATGTTACATTGCCACCTATTTATTACAGAGTAACTGTCCCCTGCCACACGTTGCTGTGGCCCAGTCTCTGTATATGTGTTTTGTGTGTGTGTATATGAATGTGTGTATGTTTGTGCATATGTGTATATATGTATGTTTGTGTATGTATGTGATTTTGCGCATGCATTGTAATGTAATTTTTGTTTTTGGCTTTTTAAGTCCCTTCTATGTTTTTCAGTGTTTTTATGAGTGATGGTCACTCATTGGCCTGATAGGTGTATTGTGTCCAAATTTGGTGTCAATTCGTCCAGTGGTTTTTGAGTTATGTTAATCCCACAAACGAACATTGCATTTTATTTATATAAACTTTTCATCAGTGCAATACAGTCATGAACTATTGGTAGTTTTCTCACTTGTATCTTTTCACATAAAAAGTAGGTCTAATGAATTTGTGAGATTGCAGATTATGGCAGGGAGCAAGCAGGGTTGGGAAAAGACAACCTTGTTTAATGACTTATTAATGTGATGCTTTGAGAAATGTGTCTACATGTTAGGCGTTAGGTAGTCTACTGAATGCTGAGCACCAAAATATGCAAATAATCTAAAATACTGCCTGCATATATGAGTTTCATTAAGCTCAGAATCAGCTTGGCATGATTCTTGGGCTGATACAGTTAGAATGTCAATGTTAGCAGAGTTCACCCTTATCACACATAGACTACTATGTCAGATAATAACATGTATGCAGAAATGAGTCATTATAAAACAAAGGCTTTAAAAAGATAATGAGCTGATACTAGCTTACATATTTTTTTTCAACCAAGCTGTCATGTATTTTCAGTTGGAAATTGCCAAATGATGTTTGCCTGAACTGTGAATTATGAATACTGTGAGCTGTCTCACACTTGTATTCCTTCAGTTTATGCCCTGTCAATAAATATTGTTACATATGAATTGTCCCTATTCCTCTTCTTTTTTTCAATTCTTGAAGAAGGTCAATTTGGGGTGTGTATGTGAGTGAAACTCACTGAGATATAATAATATATTTTTTAAAAAATTACCTGAGATTCTGACATTTCTTTTAAATGTATTGGTGTTTCTAGCAGTATGTTCTGCATTGCTTCATCCAGCCTAAAACTAGAACACAGTTTAAAAGCATTTTATTTTGTTTGCTGTTAACAATTTTTCTTGCAATTTGTTCTGTATAGCTTCATATTGCCTGGAACATGGACACTTTTTTGTTATTTGTAAAAATGGAAGCAATTGTTGTTTATTCCAGTGCTGAAAAAGTAACACGTTACATGTTATATTGCCTGTTACTTTTCTGTTACTTTCTCCAACTAGAAGCAAACGCTTATCCAACATAAACAGGCCAGCAGAATGTTGGATAAGTGAAAATGTTGGATAATAAGGAGGGATTATGGAGAAAACCTATTAAACATCAAATTACATTATGATTTTACAAATTGAGCACCAAAACATAATGTTTTACAACAAATTGACAAAAAAAGCAGTTAAATATACGGTAGCGTTATGTAGTAATTACCGTATTTACGAATTTAGCACTAAAACATCGCAATGTATTAAAACAGCTGTGGATCTGGGAGGAGGCAGACTGTTTTGGATAATAGAGAACGTTGGGTGAGCGAAAGTTGGATGAGCAAGACTCTACTGTACTTTCAAACGTCAGTGTACTCTAGTATTTCACAACACCGGCAGAGGCAAAACATGATAATCCAGAACAGATGTGTTCAGTGGGACTTAATTGTAGTCCCATTGCAACCCATTATATTATTTTATTGGAGGTATAAATAGACCATTGTTGGTTATATGGGTGCTACCAGATGCAGCTTTTGTGCTGCCGCCACACTGCTTCAAGCATGATATTTTATGAACTCAGACACTTGTAACCCTACCATTTTCCCATTGTATCTTCCATTATTTTTTAATTTCTTCTATTAAGGAAGAATAGAAGAAATAGCTGTACAGGGCTATTTGATTCACAGTGCTAGGATGCCTTCATCTGGAAGCACCCTGTGTCATACATTAGTGAAGGGCTCTGAAGCCTTTTCCTCTCCAGATGTTTTGAGCTGCTGCTCTTGTTGTCCCTCAGCACTGCTCTGACTGGTCTAGACAGAATGGAACTGGAATCAAAGAATATGTTGGCATGTGCTGAGTATGCAGAGATTTTCTAATTCTCCATCAATGTGTCAGATGGAAAAGGATACAAACAAAGTAAACTTTAGAGGAAGATGGATTTTTACATATTAAGTGTGAACAACATAGCTGATTCTTCTTCTAACACAAGTGCATATCTTTATAGGCATTTGGAAGAGAATCTCATAAGTGTGATAGAACGTGGAGCATTTCAAGATCTAAAGCAACTTGAACGGCTGTAAGTATTTTTTCTTGCACAATCTCAGTAAAGAAGTGGGATGTGTTATGGAATAAGGTGATGCTTGCAGTGACATGTCACAGTTATGTCAACAAAAAGCTGGTTGTGTTGTGGCAAAATGTAATTTAGCTGGATTTAGTTCCCCCTCCTCCCCCCATTGCCATCTCCTCTCGCATCTGTTTAGATTCTAAGTCTGAGCTGTCAGCTCAATCATTTGTCAGCTGCTGTGAGAGGTTTTTGAAGTGCAAGGTATAAATGCAATACGTAAATAAACAAATAAATGAACAATTTTTACCCTAAAAGTGATGAACATTTAGGTTGCTAAAATGAATAGAACAGTTGGGCCTTTTTTAAATGTACCCCTTTAAATGCATAGTTATCTTTCATAGATTTCTGTTGATTTTTTTATGCAATACTGTTAATGCTTATGATATTTTCAAAGGGGACAATTTTTGCTCCAAAAAGTTCATTACCTAAAAATTTCACATAGGCGAAACAATAAAGAGAAGAGTGGGACTGAACAGAGACACAATGTTTTGTTGCACATCCTTAGGTGTAGTTACAGGCTCAGGAATATCAGAGCATGGAAGTGGAGATTGTGAAAAGCCCAAATGAAAAGAGTGGGTTTTGAGGAAGGATTTGTGTGAGGAAGAAGGTGGCATCTTGCTGGTATCCTGAGAAACAGTTCAAAGCAGACGAGGTAGAAAGTGAGAGTGGGGAGTGACTTATGAAGACCTTTGAACACTGGAGATTGATGAAATTGAAGGATCAAAGGTCATGGGCAGGAATGAATTAGATTAAAAGAACAGGGAGATGGTAGTGGGGTGTGGAAAGACCACAAAGGTCTTTGAAGGCAAGGTTGAATTGGAAGTCGGCAGGAAGACATGAAGGCGATGTATAAATAGGATTGTGATGGAGGTTAATTATATTGGCAGGAAGGTGCTGCAAATCTTGAGTGGGCATGAGATATCAGACAGGCCAATACTGTAGTGGTTCAAGCAAGATGTATGCAAAGCAGAGGTTTTGCCTAGTAGACAATGAAAAAAAGTATTTTTCTATTTTTTAAAAGGATACAACTGGGCAATAATGGAATGCATGCAATGAAGTAAGCTATGCACCAGGTCATAGAATCAGTGTTGGAAGACACCCTAAAAGAAATCCAATCCAAAGTCCTGCCATGCACAAGTACATAATCAAAGCATTTCTGGTGGATAGCTATCCAGTTTTATTTTTAAAAAACAACAGAGCAGCAGATGCTATCATTATCTATGGCAGCATCTCCCACTGTTCAGCAGATCTTGAAAGAAGCAGATATTTCTAATGTGTAGGTGAGATTTCTTTTCCTGTAGTTTTAATCCTTTGCTCTGTGCTCTAGAATCTGAAGCAACACAAAGCAAGCAGGCTCCATATTCAACCTTACATCTTTTCATCTGTTTAAACATGACATTCATGTCACTTCTTAACCTCACTTCTTCAGGCTAAACATACCGAACTCCCTAAGCACATAGGGCATGGTTTCCAGATTTTTGACCATTTTGGTCACCCTTTTCTGGACATGTTCTAGCTTGTCAATATCCTTCTTGAATTGTGGTACCCATAACTGGACAAAGATGAGGTCTGACCAGAGCAGAGCAGAGGGGCACCATTACTACTTTTGATCTAGACACAATGCTCTTATTAATGCAGCCTGGAGTTGCATTGACTTTTTAAGCTACCACATCACACTGTTGACTCATGTTCAGCTTGTGGTCTACTAAGACTCCTAAATTCCTTTCACATGGGTTGTTTTCAAGCCAGGTGTCATTAATCCTATATCTCTGCCCTTTTCCTGCCTAAATGTAGTGCCTTACACTGCTTCCTGTTTAAATTCATTTTGTTGTTTTGGCCCAGGTCTCTAAGCTGTTAAGACCATTTTGATTCTGCTCCTGTCATCTGGGGTATTAGTTATCCCTTATAATTTGGTGTCATCTACAAATTTGATAAACATGTCATGTTTCATCACCAAAGTCACTGATAAATAATTTGAAACATACTGGGTCCAGGGGAGAGTCCTGTAGCACCCCAGTAGTCTTTCTCTCCAGGATGAAGAGGAGTTATTGTTGAGCACCCTTGGATTGGTCAACCATTACCATTCTATCCAACAGTAGCATTGTCTGGTGGGCATTTTATTAGCTCATTTGCAAAGTATTATGGGGGACCTTGTGGAAGTCCTTACAGAAAGTCTAGAATACATATCTGACTTTGTTGACTTTCCCTTTCTACCAGGTAACTCCATGAGAACACTCGTATGTGATCTTGTAGAAAAATCTACAACAGCCCAATATATTATTAGTCCACTAGAACACATTTACACAGCTATCAAATCTTTGAGATTGTCTTTTTGTCAATCAATAATACCAATATTCATGGTATTATAAGTCCATACTGTATGTATATAGACAGACTTATGTCACCTACTGTTATTCTCTGATCTGTGCCTTGATTCACTTTCAGTGCTCATTTGCCATGATTTCAAATTAAAACTTTCAGATAAATGTAAAAATGTGGTCTAGACTTAGCCTAACATGTGAATAATACTAGTTGGCTTAGCCCTCATGCTGTGGGTTGACAAAACCTGTAGCCATAGATTCAAATGATTGCATAAATGAACTGCTAGGAAGTAAATCTCAGTCACTGGAAGCATTCCCATGTCATGGAAAGTGTGACACAATACATCATAGGCTGAATAGTAATACCATTAAATATCACAGCTTGCATAGTTCATTAGAATACCTTTTGAAACTCAGTTTTATTTGTATAATTTCCTTCTTCATCTTGTTAAAATGTTTAATTGTACTTGTATTATGATATGTTATATTAGATGAAAAACTAATACTGTTACGCTGTTTTAATAAAGTAACTGTTATGACCGTTGGACTTTCTTTGGCCAAATAGTCATTAATATTGTAATAAAATATCATTGGAAATAATACTTGTTTCATTTGTGGTTATCCAAAAGGCATGAAACCTTAATGCCAAATGAATGTTGTTTTAATAGCATTTTACTAGCTGACACATCAAAGGGGATCTAAAACTATGAGCTAAAATATGGACGTATTTCTTTGAAATTTATTGCTTGCTATGGCTCCTGCATGTAAATTTTCAGTATATGAAAAAAACAAAAACCCTTTAGGTTGTGTTTGGGCCAAAAACACACTTGTTGACAGCTTTCAAGTGACTTTGCTTTGAAGATTTACGCTTCCTTAAAATTGTAACTTAGATTAAGTATTTGAATGCACATACCTTCTCAAACCATAATACAGTAATTTAGTTAATAGACCGAAAAATCCTTGGGTAGCTGAGTTATTAAGTGCAAATAAAATATGGCCTTGGAAAGGATTGTGCCATAGGAAAACTGTTGTTCAGCCAGTGGTGGTGCAGGCTGCTCTAAAATGGATTGTGTTAGTATTGTGGAGGTAAGTGAACTGCATATAGTCTGATGAATAGTAATATGAATAATTATAATTTCTATTAACTTCAGGAGAAAGCTATGTTCATGTCTTTGTTTTTAGAGAAAATGCAAAGTTTTTGCACATTACTCGGTATGGAGTGAGGTCTAAGGAGTGCTGGCATTGCTATTTGTATGAGGTGGCCTGTTTTATCTTTCTAAAGAAGAGTACTACTCATAGAGCAACACAGAACTCTGCTGCTTACTCTCTTATCATCCTCTTGTGCCTTCTAGTGTTAGGCACATGTCAGATGAAGGAATTGGGCTTCTTTAATAACCCTTAGCTCTTAACTTAGAAGCAATGAGGAGGTACACATGTATCTTCTTTACATTTCCCTTAGCACCCAGAAATCTTCTCAGAACTCCTCATATAATGATAGATCTTATTTAAGAAAGAAGGAGTTTCAAACTTCAAAGAAGGAAACAGAAATATAAAGATGTGGGAAAGGCTAGTTTGGGACAAGAAAAGTACTTTGTGTGTTTTAATATCTTCATGTGTGTATATATTCTATTTTTTTATAAAAAGTGACTCTTAAGTCTCACAGAAAGTCAAAACAATTTTTTTAGAAAACCTAAAACACATTTAAAGCAGATGACATAACTAACTACATCTGTGGCACTAATGTTAATGAGAATTGTTTTTTTTGCTGCGACCACCAACAAGCAGTATAAAGAATTATAGTCAGCACTCCATGTTCACTAAGGCTAGAGGCACAGGACCTATGTAAATGTGAAAACACACAAATAAAATGTTATTTTTAAAATCTGAGGGAACATCCCTTTGGGATTTTTCAAGTCCTCCAGCACTACACAACTGGAAGCTGACCATAGAATTGCACTGGCGGACCTAAAGATTCCCAGAGAACATTTTAATCAAATCCACGAATAATCAAATCCACAAAAGCCTGCAAACCTGCTGTACATTTTTTCAATAATGTTGTAAGCAATGGAATTCTGCAGTGTCAGTTTTCTTGCAGTTTTTGATGTATAGATGTAATGTATAGATGTAAGTGACTTAACTATTTTCCTAGGATACCTTTTGTAATAATTGGTAAGTAGGTTCTCTGTTTGGTCACCCAAATGCTCTGTGATAAAACATTCCAGTACTTTGACTGAGAAAGACCTAGTGATAGGCACATTCAATGCTTAGACTTTCTTTTTGTTTTTTTACTAGCAGTAAGAAAATACGCTAACTGTTGCCAAAGGTGAAATGGCTGTGGTCAATATGGACAATTTATCTTAGAGATGTATTACAGGGAGAGAAGATGGAAGATTAGTTTGGATTGCATCAAAGTGTGTTTTCCTTGTCAAAAGGAATGCTGTGAAATTCTTCCAAAATAGTTTCCTATTTAGTCACTAACAAAAAATAGTTGATGAATTGTGGTAAATAAATGTTTTTTCAGCTGCTTCACATTAATCTCCACTTAGCCATTTTGCGTTGGTGCTTCAGAATAACCACTCTTCTAGGGGTTTAATGTTTTTCTGGTGGCTAGTACTGACCAAGAGCATTTCA